ATTGTCTTTATTTGCCATCTCAAAATGAACAAAAGTGCTGATCCTGAGCGGTCTTTATCCATAAAATGAAACCTTGACCCACCATAGCCAGCTGATCCAACTCTTAGTTTAGAGTTTAGTTTGAGTCTAATTCCAACCTGTTAGTGCACATTTTTTCTATTTAACTTGAGTTTTACTTTAATTTCTGCATCACAAATCGAACACATCCTTCCAAAAATGATGTAACTTTGGGCATGAATAGAAAATAGGAAATTTATGGTTGCTAATCTGCAGTTCACATCTTCTCCAGCACTTGTCTGAGCTAATCAGGCTCCATTTATCTGTTATTTTTGGTGTCTGCAAGTATCTTATTATTATATTTGAACACCCTCGAGGTATTAGTCACCAAATACGCCTCCCTTCACACTTTTTCCCATTTATTTAATGGTATCTATTTGTTCATTTCAGCCTCCCATATCTCCTTTATTCTGCTGTTCAGTGTTCAGTGATAGTCCCTGATTTGAACCCATATCTTCCCTCAACGTTCAGGTGGAGGTGCCCGCTCCGGTCAGCCTGCCACCTTTACCGGAACTCAGCTTCATGCCTCCCATTGACACTCCCGAGGCAGCGTTCGACATGATTGCCGCAGCAAACCTCCAGCCAGAAGCCACAATGGAACTAGACTCCACTCCTGCCCCAGAGACCGAAGAGCCGGCAGCAGCAGATCCAGAGGACGCTCTTACCGGCGAACCAGAAGAAAATCTGGACCAGGTTCTCCCAGAGGAGGAGGCAAAGGAGGAAGCAGAAGATGAAGCGGAGGAGGAAGCAAAGGAGGAAGAGGAGGAGAAGCAGGAAGAGGAGCAGGAGGAAGAAGAAGAGATCCCCTTGGAGGAGGTACACTTTCATCACTGCACATGCAGTTACATTCAAAATGAACTCGTTTCATCCACAACAGAAGAAAGATTTGATTATCTTTGGTTGATAAGACCTTTTCTAAGGACGGCCTGTGTGGGCTTGTACAGACTGGATCCGTCCCAGTACTCACACTTGAGGTATTTGTGAGTAGATGAGTATTTTCGGTAACTGCCACAGTGCCCATTAAGACTGAGGTTCATCAGGACTTGCTGAGACACGTTCTGATTAACGAGAACATCCGTGGTTAATGGGACACTCCCCTTTCCTGTCACTCTAGAACTGTCACTATCGTTTAAAGGCAAGAAAAGCCCCAAAAATATATAAAAATATATAAAAATACGTGGTTCATTTGAGCTCAGAGGTCTTGTTTTGATTAGATTTCTGCATTAACTGTACAACATTAGAGTTTTAATCAGATTACAGTAAAAGCAGGAGCTGAGAGGATCAATACAGTTATTTAAGTAATTAATCATGTAGGTCAACTGTACATAAAAGAGACATCTTTTTCTGAATGTCTGCAATGTTTTTTTTTTAGGAAAGGTTTATTACAAAATCACTGATTGGAAGATTATAATATTTAATCTTAATTTTTACAATGTCAGATATGCAGTATTATTGTTGTCACTCCGTTGGAGGCTCTGCCACGTTTGGACATGAATAATAATATTCACACTGAATCCAACATGTCAGAATTTCAACTTTTGTGAATTGTGGGATACATAATTCTGCTTCAAAGGGATATTAAGATACAAGTGGATCAAGTCTGGGTTTAGAGAACTGCGTGAGACACACTTGTCTTCCTACCTTGCGGCACTTAAACAAGCTCGTCTGGGTACAAACCCAGTGTGCTTTAGTGACGTCTCCCTGACTCTCATGCACAAAGTGGTGATCTCACATAATTTCCACCTTCAACCTGAGAAGAGGTCTAATCAGACACCTGTATGGGTAGTTCAGGGTCTTTAAAGCAGCTGTAATTTAATATTTTATATTTTTATGACAATGTGAAAACAATGTGACAATGAACAGAGAATTATCACCTGAATCCACGGCTCCCCTCAGCTTTACAGAGCTTCATAGTGAGTAAACTTGAGACATGACGAGATGTTTCCTCTCGTGTTTCAGGAGACGACGGCACCGGTGGAGGATGAGGAGGAGGAGGAGGAGCCCAGCCCTGCTGAGATCTCCCCTCCAGTTGAGGACCCCACTGAGGTTCCAGCTTCAGCTCCAGCTCCAACTCCAACCCTGGCTCATACAGAGGGAGTCAACCTCAGCATCAGTCAGGGTAACGAGTCTTTAAACGTTTCATGACATAAAACTACAGATTTCACCGAATACCACCGTCAGCCACAGAAAAAGAACCGACCGTGGTTGCAGTGTTTGATTCCTGTGAAAATGTTTACACTTTCCTGTCAGATGTGGACGGGCTGATCACACAGGCCCTGCTGACCGGAGACTTTGAGGGAGCCGTGGAGCTCTGTCTCCACGACAACCGGATGGCAGACAGCATCATCCTGGCCATCGCCGGAGGGGCCGAACTCTTAGAGAAAACCCAGAAGAAGTATTTTACCAAAACACACAGCAAGATAACCAAGGTAATGACAAGAAGAACATTTTTACTGATATGTTAATGAATGAAAAGTTTATTATTGATGATAACCTCTGTTTTTCTCCTGCAGCTGATCTGTGCCGTGGTGATGAAAGACTGGCATGACATCCTGAAGACGTGCGACCTGCAGAACTGGAAGGAGGCTCTGGCTGCTGTCATGACCTACGCTCAGCCTGAAGAGTTCTCCTCCCTCTGTGGTTAGTTTAAACATGCCTGCATGTTTGAGTTTCGTCAGTGTCTGCTCTACCGTCCCTCCTTCTATTAAACTTTACTCTAACTGAACTTTTTTTAGACCTTCTCGGGGGCAGACTGGAGGCAGCTGAGGAAGCCCAGCTGCAAGCACAGGCCTGTCTGTGTTACATCTGTGCTGGAAACGTTGAGAAACTTGTGTCCTGCTGGAGCAGAGCGCAGGATGGACACTGTCCACTCTCTCTCCAGGTGTGTTGAGATAATGACTCCAGTTCTGTATGTTAAACCTGCAACCAACTAATTCTCTGTCCAGCTAATGAATTGAATCAACCCTCTTTTAGCTCAATTTTTGTTCTCTATCAACTCTTTTGCCGATGTTCTGTAAGCAGCAGTTGCTCTCCTATTTAACACATACATTGATTCGGCTCTGTTACTAACTCCACATGATGTTAAGTTTGTTGGGTGGCTATAAACATGTCTCAAAATGAATACTAATGTTGCTCCATTTTTGCCGGGTGTTTAAAACGACAAACGTTTGCTATAACCACCATACAAAGTGAAGGAGAGCAGATCTTGTATGGATGAAAAAGCAGGAAAAGAAGTGGTCAAATTTGTATTTTCAGCTTGTCGTTTTGCCCCCAAAAAGTCTGCCAATGCAGCTTGGATCTTTTATTTTGGTCCTGCTGATGTGCTGTGTTTCTATGACTCAGGACCTGGTGGAGAAGGTGGTGGTGCTGCGGCGTGCAGTAGAGCAGACCCAGCGCTCCGGTCCCGCTGCTATCGGCATCCTGCTGGCTGAGAAGATGAGCCAGTATGCCTACCTGCTGGCCTCCCAGGGCAGTCTGTCCACTGCAATCACCTACCTGCCTGACAACACCAACCAGGTATGTAACACACCAGGACTGCAGACCATTTGAAAATCTATATATGCATACACAGACATACAATGTGTTTCTGAGTTTATAGTATTCATGGAGTTTGGAACGAGTCAGATTACGCCTACCTAACCTGGTCTCTTACGTCTCATCTCGTCAAAGGAAACAAAACACACATTTCATAGTATTTATTATCAAAGATCTATTTTAATGTGAAAATGTTACATATTATATCTTTGAAATGATAATGAGACACAGACACTAACACAATTCTTCTCATTTGGATCTTACAGGTTGCCGTACAGCAGCTTCGTGACCGTCTCAGTCGGGCTCTGGGTCAACAGCCGGTGGCTCCTGCAGCTCCGGTACAAACCCAGAGACCTCAGGCTAAGCTTCCCACCCCGACCCAGGCTCTGCCCCGTCATCCGTTCACCCCGATCCAGCCCGCCATGGTGCCTCAGCCCCCTGCGTGTGAAATATACTGGATTTGGTATGATACTTTGCTGGCTTGGTTTGTAGCTGCCGTGCTTGACTCACAGGTGCGAGTCAGGCACGCGTCGGCTTTGCGTGTTTTAAAAAGACTGAATATGATGGTTTACTGGGAATAGCATCTGGTACAAGGCTTGAGGCAGGTCTTACGCCATAGTCCGTTGATAGAGAGTGTCAATTGTGGACGGATCAAATGAAGATCGTACATTGTTGTTACAGTGGGTTACAATAAACATACTGATGTTCATAGTTCACTGCGTAATGGCGTGCCGGCCCTGAAGCCTGGAGGTGTCGCTAAGTGAAAGGAGGTAGGAAATGTT